CTCACCTTCTTACAACTGCAGAAAATATGATGTTGCATATTTATGCCTATACGTTAATACATATAGTTACTATACAAACTTTGTTTATGTATATGCACAGATACTTTGTACAAGTTCATCACCCATTATGAACATTGGAAGCTTCTTGAATATCCTATGTGATTTCCATATTTAAAAAAAAACAATCAAACAAAAAAATCAAAAACCAACAAGATTTTGATTACTTCTTTAAAGCACAGAGCATAGAATGGTAGAAGAAAACCAGGAAAATTCAGGTCAGCCAGGGAAACACATCTCATGACTACAGCAATGAAGACAAAGGTAACTACAATTTGATAAATCAGCAAGAATAATAACAGAACCAGCAGACTGAAGATCATGGTGTATTGGTTTTCAATTACAAAGCATACAGACATTTAGAAATGGCCCATTTCTGAATTAGTAGGCATTGCTACCTGATGAGACTACACTGGTTTTGCTTAGGAGAGAAGTATGGGAAAGTCAAAGTCAAATTACAGGTCAAGGAAGCAATAGAGTCCATAAGATTAAATTCCTGATTACAAACCTGGGATTTTTGGGGGTTTAGCTTTACTGAGAGCATTCTAACTACATAAAAGACCTTCAAATAAGTCCAAACACAATGCTAATTCCACTGATAGTGTTGTATGAGAGGATCACACACATATTAAAATGCTTTGGATTCTCATTAGTGCCTCTCAGTGCAGGCAAAGATTACAGTAACACTTCAAACGTAACCAAAGTGACACCAGTAATGTGACCAGCTTGTACATCTGTGTCCATACTAGTCACATTTATTTGCAGTCATGCTCATGAGAGAATGTACCTAATCACACCTATTGGCACCCCTACAAATAGCAGACTAGATGCCAGAGAGAGCAGGGATTAGGCCTTTTACATCTTGAAGTTAGGGCCAGTGTTGGACATGAAAATTATGTATTTTGTTTTTCTTTTATCAAATGTGTATATAAATTAGTAATACACCGGGTTCCATAATGAACTTAAAGTGTAGCAAAGAAACAGATAAAACTGTTCCAAAATTTTCAAATAAGTCTGCAAAGATGCAGTGCCCTGTAATTTGTTTATTCTTTGTCTTAATATGGCTTTGAAGAATCAAAACACTGTCAGACATGGGGACGTTTCCCTAACTTCTATGAAGGCATGTTAGTTTTTCAACTTTCAGAGAAATTCAGAGAGGTACAGATCTGCCACAGACCTTGCCTTTTTAAACATTTTTATTTATTGTTCCAGGTAACATATTTATCCTATTCTCTCAATAAATGAACACTGAACTTCTCAAATTATGTGGGGGTTTACTCTTGCTTAGATTGTCAAATTCAGCAACATTCAACTATCACAAACTATATATGCTTTTGGTAAATTATTGGATGGCTAGGAAAGGTTTGGCTCAATTATGTGTTATACAGCCACATTTTAGCAAAAATATCCACTTAGGGCATTTGTGTCAGTTCTCAAAATATCCTAGAGCTCCAATAACTCCCAAACTCTGTTGTCCTGGCATAGCTAGGACATAAAGGTAACTGATGATTTGGTGATGATGCAAGATAAGAGGGGAGAGTTTTATTGTTAATGGGAGATAATTGCTGCTGACTCATCATTTTAAAAAATTACAAAATTAGAAGTGCTGCAAATCTTACTGTGTACTGTCACCAGACCCAAAAAAAACTTTACTAAGAGGTGGGGTCTTATTTTGGTAGGACTGTAAAATGATGTGAAGCCAAACAACTTTAACCAACTTAATCTGATATGTCATATGATATTCATATGATTTGTCTCACTTAAATACATTGTTCCACTATTTGTTCATTGCTGTCCTCTGAGAAAGTCAACAGTGCCTGCTGTTATACCATGCATAATAAAGAGCAAACTTCTTGCACATTGAACCTCTTGAAAATGGATATTTTGTAGGTGAAACTGAGGATAACAATTACATTTGATGTAAGTGTAATATGCATGGATTCTGTATTCTCAGAGAATGTAATACTGTTGCTTACTCAATTACACTCAACCTGTTTTGAAGCTGTCTCTTGTTACGGTCCCTAGAAGTAGCAGGAATCTTGTTGCTCTAAGAACTGTCACTTAAAAAATTGGGCAAACTGAGATTGAAGCTTGTGTGTGCTGGCAAGAGATAGTACTAACAGTGGATTGGAATTGGATAGAGCACTGGTAATCCTCTAGAAATAAACACCATTTGAGTGACAATGCTGCCAGTTGCCCTTGCTTTTAGTGTTTCCATTCATGAGATTCTATACTTAGAAGCATATGTAGGCAATGCTTTATTACCATTCCTATTGACCATAATAAACCCTTTATGTTGTGTACTGAGTCATGTTTGCAGTACTGCTAACTTCTGAACCTTTATTTTTCTGGGGCTGGGAGACGGAGAACCCTTTTTTCTGTATGTTTACTGGGTACGGACAATTTCCCTTTTCTGCTCTTGCAGCTTGGCTTCATGTAAGTCTAAGACAGTTCTTGTTCCAAGAGCATAATAATTTAAGAAACTACTGGTTTAATACAGATTTAATTTACTGTATAAGTCCTTAAGTAATTTTTTTACTTCTACAGAATGGTAGAAATACAGATCTCTTTCAACTTGTCACAGAATTGTTCTACTGTCCTGCAATAAAAGGTAGTTAGCAGTGTAACTTAATAGAGATGGATGGGAAGCAAACAAACTATGCAGAATGGGAAGCATCTTTCTACTGGTTGAATTCTTTGGATTAGTTGTGTCCTTTGATCTCTGTATCTGTATCAGGTAAATTTAATGTCAAAACAAGAATGTGTTTAGAAAGAAAGAAAAACAAAATCAACAAAAAAACACCCACCTTAGATTAGAAAATTGAAATCTGAAAGGAGCATTTTGTAAGAATTTGTAAGTTTTAACTTCCAGACAAAAGCTAGCAAGTTCTCACTTCCTTTTATGCACATTATTTTTAATGCAGTATCTTTGCTTTAAAAAAAGCCATGAAGAATGAAAATGTGAATGTTGATGGAATCTTGCTCTTTTAAATGGAAAGCTGCAATTAATAAGGTGTTTGATACTAAGAAAGTAAGGTAAAACATAAAAAGTTTGATATACACTAAAATAAACCCAAATAATGCAAGGCCTAAGCAAGATTAGTACCCACCTTTATATGTACCTACACATGTAACTGCTGCTGAGACCAAACACAAGAAATAAACTCTATGACAAAAAGAAGCATTCTAGTGCAGATCATGCAGGAAGACTCCTTTCCAGAGGCCAAATTCTGTAATAATATTTTGCAAATATAGGAAAGAAATAATTAAGTAAATGCTTTACCAAGTGACAAACTCTTAACAGTGACAGAATTCATTTCTCAAAATCAAGTATCAGTGCATTAACAGCTGTCTTGAAGTACACAAAAAAAATCTCACCACAGAAGAGTATGGAATCACCTTATGCAGAGATCACCACAAATTTTCCAATTAGATCTTTGGTTTACTACCAAGCAAACCCTGAGACACTAAACTTGGTGTGGAGGGATGCTCCAGACTGAGCTGGCTGGCACAAGACAATTCTTGTTATACTTACCCAGGTACATCCAATACTGAATAAAAAGTTCCGATGGATTTACATTTCAGAAATCACTCAAGACCACCTAAGCCTTACTATATTGCATGCTACAGTTCTAATGTAAGGAAACTTACCTTCTGGATATTTATACCAATATCCAAATTGTCAGCCTTTATAATGTTCACTTCCAAAAAGAGTTGCACAGAAATGAGTTTAAAAACCCTCAACATTACAAGGTAGCTGATGGGAAACAAAAAGAAGTAGATGATGTATTTAATTGTGTGTAACAATCCAGAGAAGCTTTTAGAGAAAAGAATTACAGGCTTTTCTGTACAGCATTCCCCAACAATACCCAAGACACCAGGAAGACATAAGTAGTGACTAGATATTATTTAGTCTATTCTTACAGACTAAAGAAAGGAAGCTAACAGAAGACATTTTCAGAATTACAAAACACACAAACTACAATATCTAGTCTATTTTTCACATACAAGACTTCAAAATCTCTTGTCAGGCACAGTATAAAATCTACTTTGCTGTTTATTAGGGTTTCTGGTAAAACAATTGCAAAGAAAGAAAAGAAACCTATTACCTCAGTTCATGCAGAGGGCTACCCATTCTCTTTTTTTTAATACAGCACATCTCAACAAACTGCTACTAATTGTCATACAGGATCTTGATCCTTCACTTGTATCATGACCATAGTTGCATTGCATTTGCCCTTCTGTAGCTTTGAAGAACTTTGTAACGTAAGAATTATAGATTGGTGCAATTACTGATGTCCTCTTAAAAGCAAGCAAACAAACAAAAAAACACACCAAAAACCAACCAAACAACAACAGCAAAAAAAAACAAACCCAAACCCAAAATCCCAAAAACATAGAAACCCAAAACATCATGCCACCAGTCACTGATTTTTAGAGAACCTTCAGGATGCTATCAAACTTAAAACTTCAAGAACTGGTTGTTCTCCCTCCTGCCCTACTTTGTGAGCATAGCCTATCTCCATGTGATATCCTCACTGTTGGATACAACAGCTTGAAGGAGCATTTTAAAAATCATTCCCAATACAGTACTGTCTGGATTATTATTATTTAAAGAATACAAAGTCACCTCTTACTGCAGCATAACACTTAAGATAATAGTTACTGCCTGGCGCAGATGACAACACACAGATACCTAAGAGATTAAAAGAGTTATAGTCCAAAGTGTGATACAGAAGATACCAGTGCAAGATGACTCTCCCAAATTCTCCCCTCACCTCAGACCCAATAAATTTAAAACCTTATGCAAATCAGGACTTTAGTCTTGATATACTGTGAGTCATCTGGAAATTTGATGACTTATATTTGTCACTTACTTAGTTATGTATACATTCTATACTGCATCTTCCAAAGTTCTGATCTTCAATAAATTGTCTACACCATGTAAATAAAATGTACTTTATTCTGTGCATGCAAAACATATATAACAATGTTTTCTGCAGACATAGGGACAGTTTAGAGAACAAGAGACTCAAGAGATGTTCACACTTCATCATCAGTCAGAGTAGCAGCTGTCACACCCTCTTCACTGACCCAGCACAAATAAATACAGGTAAAAACCACTAGGTTTCATCCATTCCTTGAACAAAACCTTCAGAGAAATGGATGAGGTGGCAAAAGGTGTGGTTCTGTCTTCAAAACCTCCTACCAGAGTGCAAGAGTCCTGTTTGTGAAGTATACAATAGGTAAATGAGACCTCTGAGACTTGGGACACAACTGTTGTCTGTGTTAGATGACTGTAAACACATCTGGCTTTTTATCTAATCTCAAAAACATTTTATTTGTAACATTATTGCCTTCCTTCTGGAAAAATAACTGTAATTTTCGAAACAGTTTCACCACATCTGTAACTATATTTGATTAAGGTTTGACAACAGTGATCTGATAAAAAGTTAACTAAAAATATCCCCACAGAACAATGACTACAGACTTGCTACATTTAAAAACACCAAAAACAAACAAAACAAACAAAACAACAACAACAAAAAACCACCCACCAAAACACAAAAAGCCAACCTGTTCCTGAGCACTAAAACTCAAGGCATCTAAATGGAGAGGTAACAGATGACTCAAACGTTTTGAAACAACTTCATATTTTTTACTGGAAAACAGAGTAAAAAATTACAAGAGAGTCCCCTCCCATAGACTAATAGGCAGTTCAGACCTCCAGCTCTCAGGCTTCTAATAGCACATAACTCAGCTTCTGTGTAACACAAGGTTGCCAATATTTTATATAATATTTTATTATGCAGAAAATTCTAAAGATACAAATCATGTTTGATCCCCCACCTTCCAAACCCCAGCTATACAAAGCTTTCAGTTTTTTGCACTGGCTCTGAAACTATGCTTATGCAGCAAGCTGATCTATTTTGCTAATTGAGAAGACAGATTTTCACTTTTTCAAGTCGGTTTCCTACTGGTTTACCATGTTAAATCATCTCAGTGCAGACTCAAGAATAAAGTTAGATGCAAGGTAGGAACGTAAATCATTAGACTGTAAAGGAAGGAGTACAAATTCCTCTTTCTCTGGTAATAGCAGAAACCATGCTTGATTTTATCTTTAAGGATTAAATACCCTGGAGAACTGCATTAACAGCATCCAGATAATATTGTAGTCCTGGGAAGAGAAAGGGCCCAGAATGTTCATCTGAACAGACCTAACCCTCACCTACTTGGCACTAAGCACTTCAAAGGGCTTGAAGAAAAGAGGTTCCCCAATTGCTTGAAGGTAGGACAAAAGTTTTAAGGTCTTACTATGGAGATTTTAAATAACAAAAAAACAGGCCAGCATAAGGGAAGAACTGTGGTCAGTGTTACAGAAATCCAGATTGTAACAGCTTTCTTTGAAGGCAACATTATGGTTTTTCAACTCTTCACTGGATTCCTATTCAGAAGAGTCTCTTGTAAGCTGCTCCTTCACCAGCAGAGGTCAAGAGAAAAATGTCACTTCAAAAGACAAAGTTACACTGCACATAGCCTGCACATAAAGTAGAGGGAGTTAAATACAATCTAACCTACTACCACTGACTCACACATTAAAGCTCCTATGAAGTATTTTATTAGAAACTATGGACACAAGCTTATAAATCCAATCTCTATATTTATATACACTGCACAGTCAATTGATTTTGCATTTAATTTTTTGGTTTTAAATACAAAATAATTACCTGAATGAAATCTACATGGTTTTGCCTACATATTTCAGGACAGAAATTACTTTGGAACTACAATGTTTGTGAAATACTCTTACTTTGTAATTTTAAAAAAATCACTTTAAGTAGCTGCAGAGATACTTTGCTACATTGAATCAGCTGATTAAAATTCCTTTAACACTATTTTTAAAAGTATATAAAATCTGGAAGAAAAAGAAATGAAGAGTGAACAGATTTTCCTGAATTGCTATATCAGTAAAATGAAATAAAAACAGTAACTAAGTTTGTTCAAATTTGTATTTCTGAATTATATTTTATAGTAAAAGGTGGCTCATGGTATTTCTACTCTCCAATTTTATAAAGGTATTTTAAAGCCAGGAGGTTTGGAAATGTATTATTAGTCCTTGAAACAACAGCCAACAAGTACCTGGCACATGAATCAAATCCAAAGTCTCTCCTCATATTGTTGTGTGACTGCAGCTGAAGATGAAATATCACTAAAACAGCTTAATTCCCCTCATTCAGTTCAACACCCAACTATTCAGGTACCACTGTGTAAATCCAAACTGGACTGGGTGATATGGATTGGAAGTAACTGGTTTTAGAAGAAAATCTATTCATACCTGGCTCTTTAGAATGATCAGGATTTGTGAGCCTACAAACACAAGATAATGCTCAATTGCCCTACTAGAGGAGGCAAAAGCTATACTGACTCCCCCCAAACCTTCAAACTCTATAGCTGTATTTTTGCAAATGTTTTAATTTAATTAAGGTTTTTCCCCCCTCTCTTTTTAAAATATTATTAATTACTGACCTGGAAAACTTATGGTCCCCTTAAAGCATACCTTTAAATACAGTTCACATCTTAGGTTTTTGTCAGACTTTCAAAAAAAAGTAGTAAATTTTAAAAACCCAAACATTTAGAATAATCTTCACAATATAAAATATAGTAATAAATTTTAAAACTAAATTTTTCATTAAAATACATGTTTTAGGTATGCAGTGCCTTGCCTTTTACAAAGCAGAAAAGTACAAAACTGAAAGCAGTTATTGGTACGAGGCAGAGATTTGATTAAACAGTTCTGATTGATGCTGACGAAATAATAGAAACTCTATTCCACCACTGCAGGCAAACAAGAATCTTGCATCTGAAACTTCTCAAGTATTTTAAGTGCTTGTCAAACAGCAAAAAAAAAAAAAAAAAAAAAAAAATAACTATTTGCTCATCTGTGAGAAATGAAAACATTACATCTTAGTGATTTTTTTTAATTAGCTATTTCTTTCAGCTGTTACAACAGATACACTCTGGAGAATGAGGAAACACCTTGCTGTTATGCAAATTCCTCCTCTGATATGCATCACAACATTTCAGAATAACTGGCAGTTTTGTCTTAAGAGTGGCTGAATGTCAGGAATTATGCTTCTGCACTGCACCATGAAAAGGTCCACACCTTTTCAAGGGTAGTAATTCAAGGGTAGTAATCTATTTTAAAACAAGAATTTATTGTGTTATAGTATAAAGACACTAAACACAAAACAAAGTGTTTAACAACATGAATATTGACACAAAATAAAAGCAAGATAGTTTCAAGACAATTCTGTAACTATTCCATGTGAGACACTCCAAGTGAAAGAAAGCTACATACACAGGGTCACCCTTGGGAAAGGGTGGCACCACCTCCATCTAATTCAAGCCCTTTTTCAGGACATCATAGCATTGTCAAATAGTTGCATTATCTTGAGGGCTTGAGTGGTATATAAGCTTTGTCTTGACCCTCTCTATATAGGTGAACTTACCCTAAGATACACAAGGGAACCAATGAGGCATTTCTACTGTAAACTATAAGACCTGAGGTACATTCTCTTCTAATCTACCTTACATTTTCTTGATCTAAGTATATTATAGGGGGTGGGGGTTTATTAAAGAGCAGCATAAATTTGGTTATTTAATTTCACTATAGTCCATGTGACAGCACAGGTCAATAAAATTCATAATGCTTTGCACTACAACACCCATCTTCAACAAAATACATATGGTATGTCATGAAGCTTCTCTGAAACCATGTATTGTAGTTTCCCAAGCCACTATATGAATAGATAACTGAATCTGCAATGTACTTAAGCCATTTCTTCAGAAATTACCTGGTCACATTAAGGTTTCTTTCCTGTGGACTATTTGGATAGGATCCAATATATGAACCAGTCATACATTAATTTCTCAACTGTTTAAATTCATACAGAGCAGTGAACAAGACTATAGAGATTAAGTATCAGACTACTGCTCGTTCATATGAACCATTTCCAAAACTAACCAGTTTGATGACCTCACAACAATAAAACTTTGCTAAACAAGAAGTTTAGAGTGTAAGTATTTCTTTTGTTTAAAACAATTTTTTTGGCTCTTATAGAAAATTAAATCAGTGTTTCCAAGGCTCATTGTGAAAATATATACACACATCAAAATTATATCCAAAGCTAGATTTTACCATTGAGTTTTAAAGGCCAAGAGATATTTTCAGTACAGTAGGAAAACAAAAAGCAGTTCCTGAAGTATATTGTAGCCTCATTTCACTCCCAGTATCTACAGTTCTGATGCTGTACAAAATACTTCTCTGAAGCAAATCCATCTAAACTCTATCTACCCTGAGTTAAGCATCTATACTTTTTTTAAAGTGTTTTAAACAACAGGTAACAGGGAAGTATGTACAAGGCTATAAAACATTAGTTATCATACAGCAGATTAAAAAAAAAATCAGTCTTTTCAGCCAATTTTCTGTTTTTTATTGTAGTTAGTCATTGTGGATTTGGTTTAGGGATTTTTTTTTGCTTTTATTTTTTTTACATCAAGCTATTTAGACATTCATGCATTAACTGCTTGAATTTTTTTGAGTGCAACAATAAGGCAACAGTAAAAAAAAACTTATAGAAATTTTGCATATGTGTAAAGGTATTTAGTTTATAAAAGTGCTTCCTAAAAAGAGAACCTAATTGCAGTATCAAAATATTACAGAGTGCTGAGAACAACTGTCATTTCAGTAAATGTTGCTCCACAGAAAAATGTCTGATTTTAGGCTTTCCCCCCCTTTTTTGGTGAAGAAAAGCCTGGAAAAATTGGCATGGCTACATGGGACAAGCAAGTTAAGAAAATATACTTTAGTCTAAACTTAAATAAGAAGGTCCACACTTTTTTGTGAAAACTTTAAGCCTCTGTCAAAAATGTATTTTTTTTTTCTTTTTATAATACAGGATTAAAAGACAAGATGATGCTTACAAGGTAAAGAAATAATTTACATGAAAATATCTTCTGACAAAGCTTTTCAATCAAAATATTGTTTTGTAACATTCAAACATGACATACAACACAAAAGAAACAGTGAATACAAACAAAAAATGTTATATGGATTGCTTTCAAACACATAAATAAATGAAATATTGGTGTAGGCAGTAGGGCTCATGCTGATGGCTAGCAGGAAATAACAGTGTGCAATCTATTTGGAAAAAGCTCTAAAGTACAAATTACAAGCCCAGTTAAGGACTGCAGCAAGTTCAGTTATATCACTGCCATCCTCTATCTTCAAAATAAATTCTTGTTTAAATCATTCATATCCTAAATTACTCATACCTTTGCTTCAGAGATATGAATAACTATATACAAAAAGTAGTTTTATTTCACCATAGGGATAACATTGTACCTCTCTGCCAATGTCACTTGGAAAGCCGCCCATGTCAAAACAATTTGACAGCAGATAAACAATTTAATAAATACATAATGATCTTATTACAGTCCTTCAGATAGGCATGTTAACTCATGCTGCTAGGTTTGTGGTCACAGTGCATAGAATCCAAATATAAAAGAATGGGCTGGATTTCAGGTAATTGTCAATCCCTTGCTTATATTCCAAATATATCCAAAACTTTCATAAGCTCAGTCATGTGTCAATCTTTTTTGTGGCAGGAGCTAAACCTTTCCCTGGTACAATGTCCATTGCCGGCAATGGATGCACCAAAACCGCCAAGGAGCTCAGTGTTATTGCACAATATATGAAGACCTGGAATTCTTCCAAAACTTAAAATAAAAATAATGGAATTACTCTGACATTTCTGGACACCTGCATTAATACTGTATGACTAATAAAAGCATGTCAGTTGCATGGACTGAACCAGCGATCAACATGCGCCCAGAATGCACACTAGTAAAAATGCAGTCAAAGGAAGTAGTCTTCATTGCCTATAGGTCACTTCCAGTCAAAGGTTAAAGTTCAAAGACTGAATGATCAAAGTGCTCATTTTCTCAGTAGGACTATCTTCTGCTACGAGGATCACAAAATGGTGGCATCAACATGTGTCATCTTTAAAATAAAAGAAGAGCATTTATGGAAAACATATAAACATTCTAATTCCAAATTAGCAAGGTGCTATAGGCAGAAACAATTCCTAGCATATACACTAACATGCAGAGGAAAGACCCTAAGTAATTCTGTGATTTTATTCAGTAACAACTCAGGGAGAAAACAGAGTATCAAAAATTAAACTTCCAAAATACACATACACCCCCAAAGACATTAGTGTTAGCAAATACTCCAGAAAAACAAGTCACTTCCATACTTGGTATTTAGAAAACCACTTGCCAGAAAAATGAAAAATCAAATATGCTTAACATTTTGCACCCTTGAAGTACAGCAGATCCACAACAGTTATCTAATTAAAACATCCTTTTATAAGGAATATATAGGGATAAGACCCAGAAGAGTGGGCTGTTTCTGATCCATTCTCAACCCTTTATACATATACATGTGTGTGTATATATATATATATATATAAATTTATTTATAAAGACTCAACACAAAACAATAGCTGACAGATTTATGCAAAAAAATAGGTTACTACTATAATCCTAAAATGTTAAACCTGAAAGTAAATTACATACACTAAATTTTGGATACTGTGATTAGACAGAACATACTATAAAACTGCATGTCTGTACCTATCTTTTCTGCATTATGCACCATACTAATGCTCTCTCTTTTAAGCATTCTCTTTCACACATCAACCTGTGGTATAATTGCACCTGCTAGCAGTAAATATTGAGTTGTTAACAGAAAGCCAAGTTACTGTCTGCTTATTTTTAAAGGTCTTACTTGTAACCTCCCACACCTAAAAAATGTAGCCTCATAAACATTCTACATTCTCATGGGAAAATATTGTATCAAGGCTATTACTTGTAAAAAAGCTCTAATTTTTTAGTAGGCTACTGTACATTAAAAAAAAAAAATGGACAAGGATGCAAAAGAGAGAGAGAAGGGATATTTAAATGGTGTACTAAAATTTTAGGCCAAGTATCAGAGAAAATACTTTCCACTTAAGAAAAAAACAAAACCAAACCAACCTCAAAACCCAAAAGCAGCAAGGAAGTGCTGGCTGCAAACAAACACCATTGCCTTTCCCTTCCTCCCCACCTCACCCTCCGCCCCGCAAAAAAAAAAAATCTACCTCCTGAGAACAACAAAGGAAGTCAACAGCTTTATGAAACAAATTTCAGTCTGGATGCCCAAGTCAACCGATCTGGAAGATCCTCCTCTGTCTTTAACACAACATGAGCAATTCTCAGATTGAAATTCAGCAGGAAAGTCAATGTACAGTTGAAACAGATATTGGGCAGGGTAGACAATCTAGAAATATTTTCAGTTACCAAACATCGGGAGCTTTAAAATAGGGCTTGTGAGAACATAATTTTGTAGCAAACAAAGCTCCATAACTCTAGTTGAGGAATAAGTTGTGTTGGGGGAGAGATGATACAACAGATTAACAACTCTGTGTTAAACTGAATGCAGATAGATATTTACATGTCAAAATATGTCTCAAAGTGCTACTTTATCACTCTGTGCTTATCTGGGTTAGCTTTACATCAGCTCCCAGCCAGGGACTATTTTGCTCTCAGGTAAACAAATTCCAGGCACATACTGAAAAAAAAAAAAATCCTTCAAATGAATGTATCAATACATATGATAGACTTCTTCCTATCTATTCAAAACACAGAGCTACTATGTCACATTACAGCTAAACCAGGGCAGCAGACAGCAGAAGTGGCACAACCACGCTGCATCTCCCTCAGGTTGCTGTATTAGCACTGGTATTTAATTTCTCACTACAGTTACCCTTGGGCAGCTGGCTTTCTTTCCTGGGTGGGATTGTTTTTTCATCTCTCATTTATCCAGCCAAATGTGGTTCAACCACAAGATTAGATATATCAAACTTCAACTGAAGCATGAGCAGAAAATAAACATGACAGAAGCATCTTTTCACACTTCCCATTTTACTGTAACAAACCATTTCTTTAAACCTATTTAGAAAACACTGACAATTTAAAGATCATGCCTTGGCAGTCTTGTTCTATGTCCACATAGAAGAAACAAAACTAACTAAGAAAATAAGCAAATAACACACACACAAAAATGGAAGGGAAAACACTCTAATATATGAAATTTTTGTCCCATGGACATCAGAAATATTTTATTTTTTCATGTAAGAATTCAAGGTGGTGAGGAGCCCAATGAATTTTTAATCAAGACAGTATGAGTTACTTAAATGAACTGACTTGCCTTCTCTTGCCTCAGGTTGGCTTTTAGGTTGCTCTGAATTTGAGGAGGGGTAAGGTTTTATGACTTTCAGACAAAAAAGACTGCATAGTTACTTCATAGTAACTGAAATACACATTCAGTGACCTGTAAGCTGTGGTTTTGAGCCATAATAATACAGCAACCTTCAGAATCAGCAACTCAAGATTTCTTTTCATATTAAGTTTCTGTTTTGCTTGTTTAACACCAATTGAATATCATTATTAAGAAACAGAAGTAATATCTGCAGACTGTTCTGCTTTTACATATTTCTATTCCAAATCAAAATGAGACTGGTACAAATTAAAAGTAGTCAGAACATATTTTAATCACAAAATAAAGCAAATAAATGGAACTTTACCTGTTTCTCTTTAAAAGTAATTAGCAAGTGAAAAAAGAAAGTTAACAAAAACTCTCCCAAAACTGTCATTTAAGAGAAACCAAAATTAGAAATGGAGAAGCACCAGACACATTACAAGAGCATGAAAACAGAGAGAGAAAAGAAAGTGACTGCTGAATAATCTGATGAGGATGAAACATCTATCCTTGTGTGCAATATGATTATGATTTTTGGAGTCAACTTTAAAAACAACTACATGATGGTCCCAAGTTTCTTACATATACCTTAATCTCATGACATACAGGAATTCTCTTCCTGTACCTGCAGCCACCTGGGTTTGGAGTTACAATTGCTGTATTATGAGAAACAGAGTTTCATTCTGTTACATTACCATATGTCAAAATCCCATTGGTCTCAGCGAGTATTATGAAACTATTACGTTTTTCTTGTTAGGCCATCCATGGGCTTTTAAGAATCTTAAGAATTTTAAAGGTGAAGACTTTGGAATTTGCCTCTCCAGTCATGAACTCTCACTGTCTCAAAATACTTGCTCTGGTTTTCACTTCAGGGACAGAACCCATCCTGGAGTGGAGGGGGGGGCATGAAAAACAGAGGATGTCTTATGGTGGAACCTTCACCTGCCTCTGCAGTGATGGAATCAAATGTTCTGCACTACATCAGCATGGAGTATTACCTTCTCTGACATATCCCTTCCCAATGTACTTGTGCTTCCAGTAACTACCATTTGTACAGAAATTTCCTAGGGAAAGCAAGGAAAGCATTGCTAACAAGAGGAGAGAAACAAAGCATGGCCCATCTCTATCCCCTTCTTCTCTCCTTCCTCACCAACGGAGTGGGTAAGACAAGTACATACAGCCAACTGCAGCTCTGGGTGGAGGATGACAAATGCTGGGGCAGAAGAAAGAAACCACAAAGTATAAAGCAAGACACAGAACACATGGAAAACAAAAGTAAAAAGCACAAAAGCAAAGCACACCCCAAACCAAAAAACAAACAAAAGAAAAAGCCCCCAACACAACACTAGCACCGCAGACACTTGCAGTTTTAATACACGTTTTTTCTTCTTTATCGTGTCCATGGAGAATCTTATTACGATATTATTGAGTATTAGTTTTTAGGAGCCTTTAGAGTCAGTCAACTGTCCCATAATGGAAATTCTGATTAAGAGTGGAATCTATCAAAACACATAGCTGTTTACAAATATATAGGTATCTTTTCAACAACATAAAAGTTTTTAAAGTGTTAATAACAGTAACAAAAAAAAAATTGTTTGGAGCAAAACCTAGTTTCATCATGGACTTTCCCCAATCCAAAACTTTGAAATTGTCATGGATTGATACACTTTACAAGAACTTTCATTCAAAGTCAATCCTATAATTTTAAATATGCTTAAATTTCCACCAGGAATTATTCAGATGTGATATAGAAAAAAAAAAATCACAGCAGAGTGTATCAGAAACGGGATTTAAATAACTTTTTGAGTTGAAAAAAAAATCAGTTTAATGCTTTGAACACATGTATCCTACTTTCCTACAATTCAATTGCCTTCAGCCTGAAAAGAAGTTAAAAATTTCTGGTTCTAGTTAGATACTTACCATGATACCACCATTTTGTTTTCTTTGGATTCTTGTTACATGTTCTTACATAAAATGAGTTATCTGGAGGTCGTCTCTGCAACAGAAGAAAAGACCTACAAATAATCAAACAATCCTCATATTGTAATACATGAGCTATTTAATAAGATTATGAAAGATTACCATGTGAATGCAGTGAAAATGAGGTAACAGGCAGGATTACACCTTTTTGGTCAAGAAAAATCTCTTAAACATCCAGGTAACAAATTCTTACTTGAGATACTCCAAGAAAATAAAATAGTAAAAAATATCATACAGTTTAGTGATAAATAGGGGAGAAAAAATGAATAATAAAAAAAAAACCAAACAAACAAAATAAACTAACTCACAAGAAACAGCTGTTGTTCAAAAAACTCCCCAAAATTACATTCCTTTGCAGTTTAGAATCTAATTCTGCTCCATTACATCCAATTCCTATTCTAAGGCTCAGCTTAGTGTGGGTGAATAAATGAATTTAAGTATCTTTATCTGATCATTATTACATATTCTTTGGTTTTCTTCGTAAGTGTCATCATTTACAAAACGCATAGGATAAAAAAACCATTTTGGGGTGGTTTTTTGACTACATATATGACTAGGACTGATTGGGATACAAAATAAACAGGCATGCTTGGATAGCACATATGGACAAGCTCTGACCACATCTAAATTCCACAGACAGCCCTCTGCGAAAGAAATGGTCAAAAATGAAAGGGCAATCTCTTTACAAAAAGGTTTCTAAGATATTAGTTCCAAAAAAGCAGCTCAGCGCCATTTGCTTCCCTGAAGTGAAAATTATCAAGATCACTCAAATAGTACAGATGCAAAGTTAGAAACATCTGCACTAAAGACATTACACTAGCCATTCTGCACTGCCTTTAGAGGAAGGATAATTTTATAAAGAATTGTCCTAAAGCATGAATGAACTTTGCAGTTAGTACAACTGGAAGGGTGCCAGTAATGATATATAAGCAGGTTACCATGAAAACAATGGCAAAGTACTTATTGCACTGTTTATTTTGCAGTTCTAGCTTAGTAATTTCGCAGTAGTAGAAATGTAGATACAGTAGTTTTGCCTATTTCAGAATTTGAAAAATGAAAAGTTTACTTTGTAAGGTAGAAAATTACTAACTTTTACTTATTCTACTTCAACAGTGCTAAAAAAGCCCATACCTTTTCTTTGCAGCTGGAAAGCATGCTAATAATGCTAAGACAAACAGATTGCACTGAGAGGGCTGGAGACCAGTCTTCCGTTAGAATGGATAAACAGATATGACCATTGCTATAAACATGAGGATGAACAGGGATATTGTCTCCAGTAAACATGACCTAAAAAAAAGAACAAAAATAACTAATTTATAGTCCCCATTTTAAATAAAACTATATTGGTTTGGGGAAACAATATAATCTTATTTAAGAAGAAGATCTGCCATTTTCACTAACACCAAATAACACACTTTATCACATTGGGCTAATTCCATTTTAGAAACTGTTAAGTGAAATGTAAAATAATCAATGGAAGCCTAAATAGCTAGTGAAGGTGGAGTTAAATAAATGGTCAAATATAGGGGATTTTATATTAATATAGCATAGAAAAAATGTAAAGGTAACAATGTAAAGACGATGCAAAATCTTGCAGCCTTGGTCTTCCATGTCCTAAGGAATACAGCTGTCATGCCAAAACACTGGATTTTAATGATTATATAAGCCACAATGTTATACATCAAAAAGCACAACAAAATTCACAAATGAATATTTCTATAAACCTGGACACAACAGGAATAAAGTTCTGGACAACTCATCCAGGTTCCAGCATGAATAATAAAATTTAAATTCATCAATCTTATTAACTATAAATAAAGGACTTGTGAAACTAAAATTTGCCAAAAGTTTGCCGAATAGGAAATATTTTTAAAACATTATTTCAAATAGAAGAGTTTTTATTTGACATGGAGTATATAAGAAAGTCATTTAGAACCTCAAGAAGGGCTAGAAAAGCAATTTTGACCACTACTGCTCTTACATCAAGTTTTTTGTCAAACATCATTGGTTCAGAACCAACAGAAAGAGAATAAAAGTGAAATCTTCATATCAGTATTATACACCTGAACTTCTTTTACAACTCCTTTTATGCAATAAAAACATAAATCTCTACCACTCATAACTATAATACCCAGCAGTTTCTTAAGTGTTTCTTAAACTATATAGGTATGCATAAAAATATGTAAACGTGTACATAGACACCCACCTCCTCACTGGTGACAAGTAACACCTTCATCATATAGGAAACTGAAATTAGAGAGCTTAATTTATCTGCAAAATGGCAGACAGGTTTCTAAGGCATAAGAGAAACTGGATACAGAATGATCTTTCACAGGTCTTTAAACTGGTATTTCTTAAGCATTGAAGGGCTTACCTTCATAATTCTGTAGTGTATTTCACTTGTAACTAATATCCTGTTTTTACATGACAACCTAAACTAGGCAGACTAGGTAAATAAAAGCATGCACTCTATGGCAGACAACATACATTTACAGGCAGAAAACATCCAAGTGATTAAAGCAGCACAAGTGAAAACTGTCAATTCACAGTAACTAGATTTGCAGGAGAGGTAATTATGACCAAGAAATTGTAGTGCAGAATGACCCTACTGCACAACAATGTTTGCAAAATTGAAATTCTAGCCATCTGAAACAATCCAGTATGCAGTACTTAAATTTTAATTGTTTTCTGTGATAAAACTCAGTGTAGATGTATGGATCTAATTTGCTGCTTTGCAATAAATTGCACAGAGCCACAGACACAGGTTGGGTAATGAAGACAAACAACCTGGAACCAAATTAAACTGGTTACTCTTTTGTGGATTACCTATAATTAGTACCTTGCAAAACTGATGAGATGCAGAAGTATAAGTAGCCAGTTTGTTCTGTAAAAGGCTGAAAGTCAGCATTCTAGTGTTTATCATGGTACCTAAAAATATGCTAATTTTTATGGCTTAAGTGCCTCTCACAGCTCCATGCTTCAATTTTAACATCAACGAGAGAAGCTGCAGAGATAATTTGTAGAACTCTAAGCTGAGAGAGACAGGACAAGAACTAAGACACTCTTGCTTTTCTCCTTCCTTTTTCAGAAAAGCAGGGGTGATAGCTGACCACTACTCTTATCAGGAATATTTTAAAGTGTTTCCCTCAGGTAATGGAGGAATGGCTGTACACAGCACATTCTGCAGTCTGTAAGTTCTGCTGTCCCTTCAGTTCTCTAGGCTGTCTTGGAAACAACACAGTATCACATACCTCAGTCATAACATTATTTGCAGGTCTCAAGCATAACATGTATCTATGAGAATCCCTATCAGAAGCACAGTATTTCTTCAGCTGTATTAACAATGGCAGCAGAGAAGATACAAGAGTCTTAAAAATCAACCAGAAAAAATATGCTGAAAGTAAGAAGGGATGAAGCAGCAGTTTGTTTACTTGGCTCCTGCATCACAGTAAAGGGGATCTTCCTACTTTACCCTGTATTTCATGACATGAACACGACATCAAAGAAGCCTCCAGGTTACACTGCTTTCATCTGTTCAAGCAGACATCAGAGTCCTATATTTCACTGTAGAATTATTTGTAAAGAAAAGGCATCTGCATAATGTGTTTAATACATATTAAAGTAAGCAAAGCTGACACTGGGCTATATGGCTAATACAATACGCAGCACATGTCATAAAGCTGTAACCACAAGGTAGCAGGAAGAGAGAAAGAAGGCAGCAGTTACCTGAGGCGAATCAAATGGATACCGACTACTAAACTTAAATAAAAGCTGAAATTTTTCCCCTTCATAGAGTGTTCCTGGAGCACCTTCCATGTCTACAATCCACCTAAGGAATAGGGGAAAAAGCTGTTAGCTTTGTGGACTGACAAACTAATACTTGTACTCCTGGAGCACTGGACTAATCAAATCAAATATCAATCACAGCCAGACCGTCTAACTTCTCTTCTAACACTGCAGCAATCATAAAGGTGAACAATACATCAAGCCTGTATTTAAAAGAAACAAGCTTGGTGTTTTTCATACAGGCACTGACACAGTGATGCAAATTATAAATGTAATTATGACTTGAACTATACACAGACCCATCAGTTCCCAAGAAATGGCTCTTAATGCAAGACAACAGAGCTGAAAAAAAAAACCTGCTTGAAAACTTAAAAGGTTTGGAAGGAAACAAACTAGTACACATTGTCTTTTGGGTTGTTTTACTTTTCTGTCAAGGAAAATTCAATACGGTTTATAAAAATAATACTGTAACCAAGGGGACAGGGCAAAGGTCATCTTGTACTTACTGTAAAACTCAGAAATTAAATGGTATCTTGCAGGTAATGGAACCAAAAATGGAGAAGTTAATAGTGAAAAAATTAAAAGGTCCCATCAAATTAAAACAAAATCCAAAAAAAAGGGTAATTTGAATCTGTGATGAAAATAACAGCTCAGTGTATCAGTATTCTTTTTCCTCTGCTTCTGCTCCTTCCACAATAACACCATTAAAGTAACTGACTGGTGGAGTTGCTGGGGAAGAGGGTTGTGGTGTTGCATGTGGGGATTTTATTGTTGTTGGGTTTCCACTGTGGTTTTTCTAGTACAGCTAAAACCAGTTGTTTTGCATATTTTTCAACACGTACAGCAACATTCTGCTGTCTAACTTCCCTGATTTTGGAGTCCTGCTGACCACTTAACACCATCCTTTGCGGCATCACTTTCCCATTTTTGGTTTTTTACCTTTGATTGAGTTTTACAGATATAAGCAACATACTAGGACAAAGAGACTACCAAAATACTCAGATATGGTTTACATCAATTCAAGAAAGGCAGCTGAGATTTTGCAGAACAGCAGCATATACTCAGACAAATCAACATCTCCAGCTGGCAGCTCTGATGATCCTTCTGTAATATATACTCTCTCTCTGTATTTAAGCCATGCATATTTTTTATTTTCCCCTCTGTCACTCTTTGGCTTTTTTTTGCTGGTTGTATTATTGTTGTTGTGTTTTGGTTTACGGCATTTTTGAGAAAAATTGCTAGCTCTCACACTCTTCAAGAGGAATACATCTTCAACAGTAGCACAGTGGCTATACAGTGAAGCCTGATGAAGTACGTTTCATATTTTAATTTTGTGAAGATGCCTTTGATTTAATCCTGATCACTTCTCTTCTACTGCCTTCTGCTTTACATTTATACACACAGCACAGCAATACTCTTTAGATTTATTTGTTCTTGTGATCCAGAACTTCCACTTTCAAGTTTTTTAAATAGTTTACTTTACTAAGTAGAAGATAACTTTGCCTGGACAATGCTCCTTTTATGGTCAAGGAATCAGTAGAACCCATATTTCCTGTTTTACAGTTTAGCCTTCTCAAATTTCTAATCCTTGTATATTTAAAATAAAAGATTGCTCAATGTTTCAAATTACTCCGTTGCATCATGGGATCCCATTATTTTATTCAACATCTTTAAAAGCCAAGCAAGTATTGCTACACAAATTTTTAACACAACCAATTGGAACTGTAACTTGATTAATGAACTCAAAACATGATACCTGATACCAAAAGCCCTCAAAGACAAAAAAAATCATTTTACTTTTGACAAGAAGCTTCTAAAACAGTGACAGTTTAAAAATCTACCATGACAGTAAACAGGAAGTATTATGTGCAAGGTATTGAAAGGTCTAAAAGTTGTACAGGGCAGAAATTATAATGAGGTAGTATTCTGGAAACAGAGATATCCTTTTCAATCTGCTCTAAACATTGTTTTAATAGTTTTTTGTTTAAATAAGTGAATACCATTATTAGACTGCCTCATTTTTGCAGAAAACTAAAACTTGCTATTTCAGTCATAGTCATGCTCATCTGAAGTATCACAAAGGCCATCGTAATTTAAAGAGCAGTGAGTGTTTAACTCAGTATATATGAGTCTCAGAAAAGCCTCATGTAACATGGTCTGAATGCCACCACCCAAAATGCAGATGTGAAAACATCAAAATTCAGCTCTATGTTTAAGCTGCTCCATCAATTGATAACATAGTCCAGAACTTATAGTCTGAGATGATATGCTCATCAATGTTTACAGGAGCTCAATTTTTAACATTTCTCTAAAATTAAACTAAGAAAGTTATGAGAAAAAAATGTCAACAAAGTCTGAATCTTTTGAATTTCTACAAGTTAAAAAATAGATTAATATCAAGAACAACCCCATTCACAAATGAACAATGTCCATTTCAACAGACACTGAATATTTTACCATGTTTCTCTTTCTATTTCACAAATCACGAAGAAAGTCAAGGCAGGGGGAAAAGTGCAAACAAGTGTACCCAGACAACTTTGATTTTTAAGAAGTCTTCTCCACTTGCCTTAGAGAAAGTAGGTAATTAAAACTAACAGCTGTGACACATATTCTATTCAAATGTCACAGAATTCTAAAACAACTACTCCATTATTTCAATAAATCTAGAATAGTTTTGGAGGTTAGTAGCTATGAAAGATAATAAAATTATTTTATTCTAAAATATGCAGAAGCTTTTACCAATTGACAGTTTGTTAGACAGTAAAACACCTAATAAAAATTTAGTAAATTCGCTACCCTGCTCCTGAAAGTGTCCAACACATTATAGCAATACGCTTACTAAGGAGAACAATGTTTCATTGCCTAGGCTAAAAGCAAAATTCACACTGTTACTTGGTGTAAGTGGTGGAAGAATGAAGAGAACTTCTCATTACTTAGTCTTTTCAGCACTACAGCAGAAATAAAACAGTATATGTACTTACTGTGTAATTGAATTTTGTACACTCTTTTCATCTAGAGTCATTCCTGGAGGTGGATCATTTTGAAATGCCAATAGTTCTTTTTGTAATCGTTTCTATAAAGAAATTATATGGAATATTTGAAATACTAGATAAAGTTCAACAATAAACATGCACACTTAAGTACATTTCATCAATTTTTGAAAGGTAAAAGGAGTTTTACTTGACAATTTAAAAACAAAGTGAAACTGGAAGGTGAGAAAAAAGGATGACTTTGTTCACTTTGTTAGATATTAAACTGAAAAGACAAAGGCAAAATAAGTTACAAGCTTTAAACTTACTATTTGTGTAAAATACAGTGGCAGTTACATTTGCAACACTGCAAAGGGAAGAGCTGTTTTGTTAAAAATTACAAGGAGGTATAAATGAATTGGATGTATTACAAAAACATTTGTAAGAGCTCCACTCCTAGCAGTGAACATTTCATATTTACACAACATCATTAGATTTATAATTACATCTACAAGACTTTAACAGCATAAGCTCCTCCTCTAAGTAACCTAAGGCATGTCCATTTGGCATCTGTGCAAGCCTTTGCCTTGTTCTAAGTCATCCCAGAGGACAGAACAGAAAACTAAACCAAGACTATTTGGATTGCACAAAACAAACTAAAAACTTTACACTAACTGCAATTTAGAACCTACAGAGTCATAGCACTTATTGAAGTGTTATGGCAGTAGCTCAGGTAATTCTTGCCTATTTTGACTGAGAAATTGGTCACTGCAAGAAGGTGTTTCTGTAACAACAATCAGAACACTTTCTTACAATCTATTGAGCAAAGGAAATGCAGCCTCTGAGCTGTCACTGGCACTGCTCTTGGAGTCAATTTTCTCCATATAAACAGCTACACAATACGTTTTTTCATTTCCAAGTGATCTAGGTGATAAAAAGTTCAAGGCTTTCTAATTTCTACTGTCTTTTTCTTTTCCTGCCAACAATTTTAAGGTTACCATCTACAAGTCCTTCAACCTTACTATAAGTCAAAATTATTTTATACTCCAAAGGAATAAAAATACATGGTTTGGTGATTTGGTACCTCATTTCCATTCAATAACAATTTTTTTAAAACACAGATCTAGCACACACTTGTAGCTGTTTTCCTGTACTTAGCAGAACTTAAAAAAATTCCCAGGGGAAAATAAAGTGTTGATTTGCCAACACAGAAGTTATTCAGTATCCCATCAAATATATTTGAAATCAGACTACAAGAAATTCAACCACACAACTCATAAAGAAAAGGCCCTTACACATTCATAACTTACATTCTGAAAATACTGAAATAACTTTCTGTCTCTATCAAGCAGCCCTGAAAACTTCCTTGGGCTTCCATATTGAAAGTTCCTACCTTCCACTGAGATATAACATAAATCAAGTGAAAACCCAACTCTAGCATTTTCATAAGCTGTACACATTGCTCACACATTAAACAAACAGGTTAGAATCCTAGTGTTTATCTTTTTATTTCTGTTCAGATTAAGAAAACACTAACATCACTACGTTAGTGTTTCCAGCATCATTATTATGAATTCAAATGCAAAGGAGCAAAGTTACAAAACAATTTTATAAATCCTTAATTTGAATGGCAGAGATGTTATGAAGTCAATTATCTTTCTGGCACTTCCCCAGACCATCATCAAATAAACTTCAAAGGCAGTCAACCTGTGTACACTTTTTCACATAGAGTAATATTTTAAAAGTTCAGAGATAAGAACGTTTTAAAACAAAGGAAATTCAAACTCTGCTGAAGAGGAGATTTGGAAACATTGGTTCCAAGATAGCGAAGAACATATGTATATAAGAACAGCAAATAATTCAGCAGATCCATTTACTTATACATGTAGACCAACTATACAACTTTGTCTATATAAAAAGGAGCCTAAAACACATTTTAGATTTTAATTAAAATCAGAAACATTAAGCTATCAGTGTCTGACAGTAACTTGAAGAGACAAAATTTTGTCTGTTCCGTATCATAAAAAAAATTTCAAATTACCAACACTTAAAATATTATCTAATTTCAAGTTTGCACCTTTAGCCCTTTTTCCAGCAACCATCTTTTCAGTCTAACTCAGTCATGCTTTTGTCCATCTCACTAGTGCAAAAATATCCTGTTTCACATGTCTTTACTAAACAATAAACATACTATGTTTATGGTCCTTTCTAAACAAAAAAGCCAGTAGCAAAAAGAAAAAAATAATAAAAATGTACACTTGAACAACACAATACCACTAAAGTGCTCTGTTCCTCTGATCCTAAAACATTTGCTGACACTGGCTTGAAGGCCTGTCCATTCAGCATAAATAATACATACAGACAAGATACTGCCTCTCATCGCTTGCAATTCAAAACAAAATTCACAAAACATATCCCAGAGAAATAGCAAGAAATACTATTTACACTTTGGGTCAAATGTGTCACATTTGACACATTTGACAAATAATATTCTTAAATAAATTATTATTTCCCAGTTAGCCACTTCAAATAAGTATCAATGTAAGCCAGGAAAGAAAAGTCAAAGAAGGTGTAACTCCTCCTGTGCATAAAAAATCCTGGACAACTGGAAAAAACTGATGAGCAGAAGGCTACAGTACTCAAGAGGATTGTGTTTTTTCCATGTTTGGAAAGTCCAACAGTCAGGTGAAGTCCCAGCTGACTGGAAGAAGGGGAAAAAAAGGAAGACACTGAGACCTGTCAGTCCCACCTCTGTACCTGAGAGGTTCATGGGACACATCCTCCAAGAAGCTGTACTATGACACATGCAGGACAGAGAAGGATTCAGGACAGCCACCATGGCTTCACTGAGGCCAAGTCCTGCCTGACCAGCCTCGTGACCTTCTACAATGGAATTACTACATCAGTAGACAAGGGAAGAGCTACAGATGTCATTTATCTGGACTTGTGGTAAGTCTTTGGCATGGCAGCCTACAAGATCCTTGTCTCTACATTGAAGAGATGGTTTGATGGGTGGACTGTTCAGTGGATAAGGAACTGCTTGGAGAGTCACATCCAGGGAGTGGAATGAAATTATCTTTACAGCCCCTTAAAATCCAAACCATTCTATAATCAGTTCCATTGACTTCTATTTGCAGTTCTCAGTGGAAATATCAATACAAGGAAAAAAAAAAATCTATGTCATTCCCATAAAAAGTTGAAAAGTGCATGTCCAGTAGGAAATGCATGTGTTATCTATTAACAGAAACTCAATAACCCAGAAAAGCAAGACTAACACAGTCAGTGTTATAATGAAAACAATTTATAATAAGTCAATTTATCACACTGAAATAAGGGACTCCACAAAAAACCCTGACAATGATTATCTATCAACCATAGGAAACTTCCGTGCAATTCTGATTAATGGTAAATTCCTAGACACAACTCCTCATTGGACAGGGAGGGAAGGGATTTAGAGGTGAAGAATGCACACCTCTTCTGGATTTGTTCTTGATTCAGAGCAATATCCCAGATAAAACCAAGTTTCAGCAAAAGGCATTATTTCCTTCTGCCTTACAGAAATCTCTCTAACCCTATGTCTACTAAAGAACTTGTATTCCATTGTACTACACCTTGATGGGTTTTATGCATCTCAGCACTGCTTCCTCCCAAATAAAGAGACTCTCACCCTAGATTTATTCAGGACTGAAGAGAAAAAACTGCTATTAGAAATGGCAGACAACTTCTTCATTTTTCTTATCTCCAGCTATACTATCTGGATAATTTGCCTTGATATAAAAGATCAAAAGAAATATATTGTAATAAATTCCTGGATTTCTCCAGTCCTCAAAGACAGGAAGTCTGAAAGTGAAAAAATGCTTTTCAAGATTTCCTAAGTGTTAATCTTGCCACTAGAGTTAGAAGTAAGGCAGTTTATATATGAAGACAATTACTTCTACTGGACCAACAGGCACACACTTAAGATGTGATTTAAGCCCATTATTTGTTGGGGCTTTTTCCCCAGGTGGAGTAATAAAATATACTCTGTATTTCAAGACACTCTACTATTCCATTAACCACAACACAGAAGTTAATAATTCCTAATCTGATGAACATACGTGGGTATCTTTAACAATCTTTCATCACACATTTTCAAAATTTGGGGTTTTTTTAATCAAACATCAACTCACTTATTTCTGTACAGAATAACAAAGAGCTGCCTATAGACCTTTTTCCAGAACATGAGAGTATTCTATAGGAACTGGAACAAAACTGCAGAGGGCACAAAGGGCCTACTAATCACAATTCATCCAAACAATGAGAAAAAAAAATGTTTTAAGAGAGTAACTAAGTAATATTTAGAAAATAATCTTTAAATCAAGGTCTCTGGTGAATGTATTCCAGTGTTTCACTACCCATGGTATAAAATGTTTCTTTTGTGTCTTACCAAAATCCTTCATGTTCCAAATTGTATCTATTGCCCTTTGTCTTCCAATAGTGGCTGTTTTCCCTTGATATCTTCCTATTATGTTGTTGTAGGCATCAGCAAGATCTCTCATTTGCCTTCTCTTCTTACAGCTGAAGAAACCCAGTCTCCTTGAAGGTCACACAGTTCAGCCCCAGCCATCCTGCTTGTCATCTGCTGGACTCACCCCAGAAGTGCAATGTCTGTCCTGTAGTGCAGCTCCTTGAACCCAGCACTCCAGATGTGATCTCAAGTGCCAGAGAGAGGAGAAGAATCACTCTCCTCGAGCTGCTGGCTCGACACTTGCAAAGACAGCCTGACGTGCAGCTTGGGATATTCAGAAAACTTGAAGGTATTTTCCACAGATATTATGAAGGACTATATTTTTTCCTTCCTCTCTTTCTTAAAATAATTTGCCTTTTGTCGTGTCTCATTAATACAGAAACTGTATATTATCAGGAGACTGATCTAGTTATTAAAAAATGCCCTTAAATGAAGCCCTTAAAGACCAGATTCATATCATTTAATTAGGAAACCGAGTTCCTCATTACCACAGTAATTCAGAAAACATCTAAAGTTTGAATTTAAGAACTTGAAATTAATTTATATTCAGTGTTGAACAGTATTTGCTGACCAAAAAGGTTACAAAGGACAATAATT